ACCTTTCGAGAGGGAAAGGGGATGCTGCCGGTTCATTTCTTTGCCGGTGAAGAGAAGCAAAGGATCTGGAGCTCTGGGTAAATCCCTATGGGCATTTTAGGGCAAAGAGATTTCTAGGATGGCTTTTCATGTTGTGGCTCAGGAATTTCCTTCAGGACATCAGAGGAGTCTTGTGATTGTGCCCAGCAAGAGTCCTCTGAGCTGAGGGGTGAGCTCAGCTGAGCGGGTACAGCTGGCTCCTTGGCTATTGCTGGCACAATATGCTAAAATGGAGGGTGCCTAACAACAAAACTGTCTTCTGGGTGGGTTGAACTAAGCGGTGTATTTAAAGCACCGTATTTCAAAATTCAGGTGAGCAAGCCAGTTGATTTTAAAGATCAGAGCAGCAGAAGATTTGTCATCTTTCTGGCTTCTATGGAAGTGAAATAGTTAATTCAGTGGAGCACTAGATTGCAATTCTGCTTTCTGTATCACCCCGTTTCAAGTCTTAAAGTATTTGCAAAGCTTTGCAGTGGAAAGACAAGGCAATTCTTGTGGTATTGGGGGGGAGGGGGGTGAAAGTGTACCCATGAAAACCCCAAAATCTGCTTTACCTAGGCACAGCTGGGCCCTGTTGCTTGAGGGAGCCTGGGCTGGGATCCTGCAGGGTGGGGACCAGCCAGTGCTCCCACCGACTGCAAGGGGAGGCGAGCGTGGTCAGCACCGCCTGACATTCACAGAATCGCACTGTTAGCAAGTGCGAGAGCGCAATAGGGAGCTGCCGCTGAACAGGCAGGAAAGATGCTTTTATAATTGCAGTGAAATTCCAGCATCAGGTTGACCGTTCATTTGTGCATGAGTAGGTCCCTTGTGCTGATTCATTTACATTATGTAATGAGGCCAAAAAGCCCCTTTCTGTTCACATCCTCTCCCAAATAGTTGTCCTGTGCCCGTATGGACAGCTGGCATATTCTTGAATGGCCCAAAATAAAATGCCTTTTGTCTACCTAACTGTTCAGGGAGGTTACAAATACTTTTCTGGCTAACAGCACACAGGAGTTTATGGATACAAGGGAAATGTCCAGGGAAGTGGTAGAGTCACCATCCCTGGAGGTGTTCAAGAAACGGGTAGATGTGGTGCTTAGGGACGTGGTTTAGTGAGTTAGGTGGTGTTGGGTTGGACTTGATGATCCTTGAGGTCTTTTCCAACCTTAATGATTCTATGATTCTATGAAAGGAGAAAGGATAAGTTAATAATAACCAGCGTTACGGCAGTAACAACAGGAAGCCCACACTGTTCCTCACCATAACCAGAAATGAACCTGCAAAGAACTGGAAAAGCATCATAGAAACCTCAATGGTGCAATTCCTTGTGTTTCAAAGCTTCACTCATGGCACTGGACCTTCGTTCAGGGCTTGTACAGGGGACCGAAGCACTGCCTGGCCCTTGAGCCTTGCGAGTGGTCTGTCCTGGGGCGGGTGTCCCTCACACTGAACGTTATCAGGCCTTGCCACAAACACGTTTGGTCTCCTGCTGTAGGGGGGTCCTTAGCACGGTCTGGGACTGAGCCGATGCAGATCTCCACCCATTATTCATCACAGTGAGCCAGCTTCAGAGTTTGCAAAGACCCCAAGGAGAGTTTATGACAGGCCCTCATTCTTCAGCAGTTTTTGTTAAGTTGTGCTCTTGCTTAGCCCCCACAGGCAGGGGGCTGAGGACAGCCCTACTTCTTGTCCCCTCCACCTGACAGCAAGGAGGCAGCTCTCCTTCAAACAGTCACTTCTTCCAGGCCAGTGCTCCCAAGGGGGACAAGGGGGATCATCCTTTCTACTACACCTGTCACCAGATGAGCTCAATGTCTTCTTACATATTTCTCTCCCCAGCTGGCCATGCCTTGCCCAAAGAGGAGTAAGAACTGTGTCCAGCTCAGTCAGCTAATCCCTCTGTGTGGGATGAATTGGGTACGATGATCTCATGAAGACCTGCCTGGGATGCTCTAATTAATTCTGACCACATCAGTCTACTGTTTGTACATCTGTCAGAGGTGTGTATGTGATGGTGTGCAGCACACTTGTGCTGGTAAATTTTGTCTGGACTTTTTTCAAACAGCCTCTGAAGACCACACAGTCTTTTATGTGAGTTAGGACATATTTCAGTTTGCATCTACAACATGAGAGATATAGTTTAGATGAACAATTTCAAAGGCTTTAATTGCAATTATTTATTTATTATTATTTCTTCTCAAAGTATTAGAAATACTATTAAATTACAAGAGTAGAAAGTAATACAAATGAATTGGAAAAATATTACTAACTATAGATATGTATTTTAAGCTGAAAGAGAGTAGATTTAGATTAAATATTAGGAAGAAATTCTTTACTGTGAGGGTGGTGAGACACTGGAACAAGTTGCCCAGAGAAGCTGTGGATGCCCCATCCCTGGAGGTGTTCAAGGCCAGGCTGGATGAGGCTTTGAGCAACCTGGGCTAGTGGGAGGTGTCCCTGCCCATGGCAGGGGAGTGGAACTCGATGATCTTTAAGGTCCCTTCCAACACAAACCATTTTATGATGGTATGTTTCTATGATTTTGGGGTTCATTTTGATCAAATGCAGTGTTCACGATGCAGCCGTAATATTGTGTATGTCCTCTGTCATCCAATTCATCCCTGGACCGGTTCAAAGAAGGATCCCTTGATATTACAGCTTTACCTGTCTTTCTTTTCGTTCTGTAAAATGGAAAAAAAAAATACAATCACCATTTAAAATTTCTGTTCTTAGTTGCAGTGAGAGGTCAAATAATGGTGTGAGCATGAATGAAGTCAGATTTTGGAGAAGCCCAAGATTTGTGATAGTGATGCATATGCCCTGTGTAAAGGAAATGGCATATGTTTATTTCTCTAGAAAAAGCCACGTTTTCCCTTGCATTCTTCAAATGGTTCCTTTCTGGTCCTGCAGGTATGTGACTAATGGGAGTTTTGAGGTTTACGGGTGCTAAAAGGGGTGTTTGTGTCTTGACTCTGCTGAATGTAGCAAAGCTGGGAAAGCCTTACCTGAACATGTACTGTATAGAGGAGATGACAATGATGATAACAACTACGCCTCCTACAACTCCAAGAACAATGGCAACTGTATAATCCGGAGGAGACCCTGTGGGAGGGTTTTCATCTGTGGGAGAGTCTGCAGCTGAAGAAGAAACCAGAGCTCTGTCAGTGAAAGCCAACCATACTGTGAACAGATTTTTTTTTTCTCAGCCCTTGCCCATCTGCTTGGTTTATACTGTGTTTTCTGATGAATGCGGCTTTCTGGGGTGGTGTCAGACCCAGGTCCTGTATGCTGCACAGAGCCCTGCTGGCATGCCTTCTAGCACCTCTCCATTGGGGGCTCTGACCCCTTCTTTTTGCTTGGATGACCACATGCTCTCATGCGCTGGGTTACTAATTTACAGGATGGAAATGAAGAGCAAGCTCAGTCTTCTCCATAATGAAACCTATTTGTGAAAGTGCTGTGCGTAGTGCAGATAGTGAAATCCAAAATAGTTTTATTACCTATCTTTTCAGTCTCGCAGCTTTGTCCTGTGTACAGTTCTGAACATTCACAGTGGAAGGGGGAAGAGGTGCTGCTGGTAGTTTCAGAGCAAACTCCGTCATTCATACAAGGATCTGGCATACATGGTCCCACTATCAAAAAGGAAGGAGAAACACTCTCAGATAAGCCAGCCTCGAGAGAACTGTTCTTGCTTAGATTACGCTGACTGCTAATGCTGGACATCCCCTCTATTTTAAGGCCCATTACTTACACGTGACAACAGGAATAAGGGAAAGAAACACTGTTTCTGCAATGAAACATCAAAGCAAGTTCCCTGGTATGCTTTTCTTCTGTACACACTCTGTTGCAACTATCCCCAACCCGGTGATGCCCTATAAGCAGTAAATCAAGACTTCCAGCATTAAAGACAATGGGATAGTGGTTGACTCACTCCTGTAGCATCCACGACTGTAGTTTGAAATGCCACACATTTCATCAGATCCACACACTATGTTAGAGCAGGAGACGGTGGAGCTTTCTGTGCACTGGCATGTCTGAGAGCAGTCATCAGTGGTGAATATTTCTCCAATCTGGAAGACAACAGTTAAATGTTAAAAAATATAAAATTAAATCAGCCTGAAAAACCATGAATGAAGCACTGTGGCCCCATGCTACTTTCTCTGATGCCTTCCTGATGAATGGCAGATTTATTTTTTTTTTTTAGTAGTTTTTACAAGAAAAAAAAAAAAAAAAGCAAGCAGTTTACTAATCCAGCTCTTTGCAACTCAAGGATGGCCGAAGAAAGCAGGCAAATGAAGAGTTTGGGGTATGAGATCCTGGCCCCAGGTGGGGGTACATGTGCAACCAACAATGTCTAACTGTTGCTGGAGATAAGAGTGAGTGGCAGATGCATCACATTACGCCTCCAAGGCAATGTGGAAATGCTACATGCCATTTTTCTGCAAGTGCTGCCTGTTCATAGTGTCTCCCTCCTCCCATAAAACAATCTTTACTGGTTTAGGCCTTTTCTGTACCCAATCTCTAGTGTTAAAATAGAAACCTATGAGCTTATGAAGTTGTTCCATCCCGCAGCAACAGCAGAGGATTCCTTAGAATCCAGCCTTGCTCTCTTCATGTCATAGCCAGCTCTACAGACTCTCAACCCTGCCTATACCACTCTTCACTGAGAGGAGAGGGACCACAGTGACTGACAGAATTTCTCTGCAACTGGTGTGTTGCAAACTTTAGAGCCTATGAGGCTGTTAATTTAGCATAATAAAGGTAAAGAATTAACATGGAGGTCAGAGTGGAATCACATACTTTCTCCAAGTGCCTGCCTTGAGTATTCTGGCAGGCAGAGCTTCAGAGGCAGACCAAGTGATCTACTCTCTCCACCCTTCCCCCAGAGACCAGAATTTTTTTAGCTCTTTGTTTCTAATGCAAAACTACATGTTGAGGAGAATGAAGAGACTGCCAAAATAATTAGCAGAAGAAACTATTGTTTAGCTGTCTGACCCACAGAGAGGCTGTACCTCATAATACTTGTTAAGGTATGTGCAGCCACATTGTTTGTAAGGCACGCAGTCCAAACCACTAAGAACATAGCCAGGGAGACATTCACAGCCTTCAATACAAGGTAATTCACACTCAGAGGGGCTGGTCAAGTCGTTGCAGGACGCTGGGCATGCAGACATGCATGAGCTGTAGTTGCTGTTGGCCGGACATGATATACCTGTAAAAATAAAGAGAGTCCAGTTATACAGGCTGCTGTGCGTTACTGACACATTTTGTAGGAGGCAATATGAACACAGAGTTGTGCATGCATATATAATAGTACTGAAGTTGTATGTAAAGCACTCCAAAGTCAGGAAATGCATCGTCAAAGCTATTTGTATGCTGCGCTCTCGTTCCTTGTGTTCACTGATCTCAAATAACTTCTCACACATTCAGGGTAGCCATCCTTGCAAGTACCGGAGCTGTTTCACAACTCTGGGAACTGTGTTTCACCAGGAATACAAAGTCATCTAACCATGGGTGATGCAAAGGAAGTATGGTTTGATGAATCTCCCAACTTGGAAAAAAAAATAAGGAAAAAAAATATTTGAGATTATTTTAAGTTTTATTTCAGCATTTTTTAGTCTGAAAGATTCGGAGTTTTCAGCTGAATCTTTTTTACCTTGAAATTTCACAGGCAAAAAAAAATATTAGTGTATTTTGTAGATTTAAAAAGAGATTGAAATGATTTTTTTTCCTTTAGATTTATGGCTAGTGATGGTCTCCAAAATTTTAACTTTTTTTCCCAGTTGGGAATGGGGACATTTTTTTCTCTCAGAAAACTTCTGACATCAGGGGAGATGACAGCTCTGCTTTCCTAAGTAGCTTTCTAACCTGGGGTCTAAATGCAGAAGTCAGCATAGGACACAGAAGAGAGGCCAGAAGAGCAAGTGTGCATGCTAAACTGTGAACAGTGATTGAAGAGTGACTCAGTATGCTCTTACTCCCTCAGAGGCTTTGACATATGGTATGTCTAGGAAAAGCCTCAGGATCTCAGATTTTGAGAGCCCGTTAGGTAGAAACTGTACTTTCTTGTTCTTCCTGTGCTTACCACAAACTGTCTGTTGCCTCCAGCCTTCCATAGGGACTCCTTGCTCCTGACAAGCCAGTACGTATTCCTCCAGACTGCGACATAAGATAGCATCCTCATCTCCTTCCACACACATATCAAACAGGCAGCTCCTGTATGCAACATGAGAAAGTGTTCATTCCCAATACCTTTGTTACTGTTTACTTACAGCTGCTTTTCTGCCTAACTCTGAATTAGTTCCATTTTCCTGTATCAGGCTGACAGGAAAACAGAGGAACAATAATAAAAAAAACCACTCAGCCTCACGACTGGGAAGATCAGGTCATTTGCTGTGCAGCTGCTGCTAACATGCAAGGTATTAATATATGAACAAGCAATGAACAGGTACCTGACTTCTTGTCACAGTAAGTTATTCTTTGTTATCTGCTTCTCTTACGGGCTAGCATGGCTGAATCTTGCTTATAGAGCACTTTTTAGTGCTGTTAAGTCTTATAGCTGGACTACACACTTCTATCTATACATGGGTGACTTCCCCATGCCCATGTGCCTTGAATATTGACACAATTCTCTTTTACCCAGTGTTTGTTTGCCAGTACCGCCTTCTCAGCTTTGCTCATGATCTGAATATCCATGGCCTGATTTTCAGAGGCACTGAGATGAGTGGGATCTGCAAGCATGCAGTGCCTCAGAAAAATCAGGTGGCCACTAAGAAGGTAGAACAGGCTGCCCAACCAAATTCTAGAGTGGGGAGATAAGTAGGCTTATGTTAAGAATCAGGATATACACATTCAAACCAGTGGTCCCATTTATTGGCTTAATACCTTCACATTCTTCTCACAGATAAGAGGGACTTTGAGGTGGGCATCATCTATCTTTAAACATAAGGTACAGATTATGTTTCTTTAGTCATATATGACTAAAGAAGACTGGCAGCTACTTGGCAATTTTGTGACTGATGATGGATGAATGATGAATGTGGGGATGAACCAATGGGTTTCATACAGCTCAAAATTATGAGTATAGGAATTGTATATGTAGGAGGCCAGAGTAGCCTTGAAACACACCAGAGGGAACTTTCTTGAAGGTATCAGGTTAGTTACCCTTCACTAACCTGTTTTCACTTTTCCATGAAATATTCAAGAAGTGTCACTGACAGCTTCAGCCCTTGTGGCTATAGCATGAAGGCTAGATTTTATGAAGCTAGAATTGCTAAAAGAAAACTGATAGAGCTAGCTACTAAATTCTCACTGAATGCAGATGAGAACTGTAAGTGCACTGGAAATCCCAGCCTGCAGGTATAATGCTTAACACTGCTGCTTTATCTGTGTAGCAAAAGAGGAAAGCTACTTTCTACAGCTAACAGAAAACTGAAACTCTAATTAGATGGAAAGACAGATCATCACAATTATGTAAAAATAAATAAGAGGATTTAAATATATCAATAATGGAAGCACTGGACCCAGTTCTCCAAAGACACTTACTATCCTCAGTCCCTATTAATACCCTGGAGACTGAAGATACAAAGTTGTTGTCAGAAACCATCTCCAAAATGGTTTTGCAAATGGGGAGAACAACTGTCTGTAGTGGACACTTACGTGAGATAGAAATCTGGTGGGACCGTAGAATGACACTGTGCAAAAGGACTACTAGAGTTAGTCAGGATTTGGCATCTTGAAGTTCTGTTTTCTTGCCCCAGCTCATTTTCATTGCAGCCTTGGAAGAGTCCTGTATCTGGTTCCTCCTCAGACTGAGCTTTTGAGCTGACATCTCGTCTGTAAATGAAGTCATTATGAAACCATCAGTTCTCTGTACATCCAGCATTCATGGAACTACTGTCCAAGTAACACCACAAGAGTACTTCTGCCTTGTAATGTAAGTTTGAGCTTATTTCTCTCCCATGATTTATTCTGACTGGGAAGGCGATAGATAAAGCAAATCAAAGAAGTACTAGAACACTTCCTACCATCTCAGAGATGTATGGGTATTTAAATCAAAAGGGATATCTGTAACTATCTCTTTGGAAATTCTGCATGACACAGGCTTCATCCAGTGCCTTGTTCATGCAATCTAGTAAATTAAACTTGAATGTTGGTCAGAGTGATGCAGCTGGAATAGGCCACTGTTTCTTGGACATATGCTCACTTTCACTGAACACCTGGCTGCATGCATGAAGTACCAGAATTCTCCTATAGGCATAGCCTACAGAGCCCCTTTATGCTCAACACTAGCCTACATACTGCTCTCTGCTACTCTGGCAGACAAGCTTTTGCAGGTAGATTATATCCTCGTAGTGAATACAGTTCCATTTACTTGCTGAAAAAATTCAGTGATAGTGGGTAAGCAAACTCCAAAGGTCTTTCAAAGAGGGAGGAAGGAAGGAAGGGAGGAAGGAAGGAAGGGACAAGAGACAGTTCTAGTGAAGTTTCAGTGTCCTGTATGGACTAATTAGCACAGAATTTGCCTGATCACAAATATCATGCTCATTTATATGCAAAATAATGTCCTTACTTCTTGTGTACTAGCAGAAAGCACTGGGTAGTCATGCAAATAAGGAAATCAGACTCTTCAAGAACCTCTTCTGGGAAGAGCTGTGAATTCATCTTGATGGATTTCAAAGCTATCTTCATATTCCAGAGGGAGGGATGACACTGAACCAGGATTTGCCCTCCCTCAGGCCCATCCAGCACAACATGATCTATTTATCTTTGCCAGGAACCATGAGCTTGGCAAAGATCTTATTCATCCCTTTGCCCTAGCAGTTGTAATGGCTGTGACTCCAAAGAGGGATACTGAACTGGAGTCATGCAGTGATAGTTCAGGACTCTTTTGGCTAGATAGAAGGGCACTGATAGTTTGCCATAGTGATGAGCAACAGAAGTCCCTACATGCAGACCAAGGGAAGAAGAAAGACCAGAAATAAGACAGTGTAGTTATTCCTGAATATTAGCTATGGCTTAATTCACTCACTTCCAGTAGTTGTACTTGCCATGGATATTAAGTAGAAAACTAAGTACCTGAGACGAGAGGTTGTTCTTTTCAGAGGAACTTTCCAGCTCTCACCAAATACATTCACGTTCTTCACCCAAACACCATCTGGATTTGTGAAGTCATTTCTGTATATCCCGTCAAAGTCACCACACAAGCCTTCTACTCTGTTTCTGTAGGTGGTAGCCAGCTTTATTTCTAGGGAAGTTCAGAAGAAAAAAAAAGCCCATCTTTGCTTCTGAGTATATATGGAAGAGGTGGAAAGCAGTGCCAAGTGCCACATTTCATGATTCAGATCGGAGTTGGTAATGTGACATGGGCCTAATACGTATGAGATGAACACAGCCCTGAATATACAGGTTCATACATTTATTCACAGGACTGTTTCTGTGTTGTGCCACATGTATCATAAAAAAAGTCATTTCTTGCAGCCAACTAGTATTATATAACACGACATCACCACCTGAGGGCTCTTAGTGCATAATGCTTACTGCTTTGCAACAAACTGAATGCACCACCCACTTTTGCGCTTCACTTGCAATCCACTTGCTCATTGAGAGACAGAATTCCTATAAAACTGGCCTTTTCTTTCTGCAGTTGAAATTTTAGGGCTTGGAATGATAGTCACATGTGTAAATGGCCTGTCACTTTCACCATACACTCAGAAATACCGTGGCTATATTCTGCTGTAAATCAGGAGTAACTCTGCTTTGAACAGAGGCAGTAATGTGTACTTAATTTACATGAGTGAGTTGTGTATATGGGATATAAGAGTCCTGCTGAGAATGGGGTTATCTGGAACAGGATTAAGAGGAAGGATGTGAACAGATGCACTCACAGCTGTATAGCTTAAGGGCCTCAATCCTATGACTGGGTTAAGCTGGCAAAGGGGCAGATACAGACTTCACCCCATCATCCTGATCATCAATTTTAAGTTATTTATTTTGTTTTTAATCACTCAGGCCTTACTTAACATGAAAAAAAAGTAGAACAGTCTGGCTCTGCATCTCATTTCTCCTAAGTTCAGGTGAATCCTCATAACAAAGTGCCAGTTTGATCATTTTTCTGGTTCCTGGGAAACACTTTTTGTTTTAATTTTCTGGAAGTTCATATCACAAAGGGCCTTAGGCTCAAAGGGTGAAGGTTTCTAATTTTGCCTTGGGTTTAGACCCCCTTTGGAATAAGAACATTTTTTGAGACAGTGCATAAATATTCCTGCACATTGCCTTAGTATCACCTACCTCCATTTTGACTGCCATCAAAGCTCACATACAAGCCAAAATCTGTCTCCAGGTAAATTCTTCTTGTCGTCTGATATATATGAATACCTTCATGAGGACGAACAGGGGGTCTCACCCTCACACCATCCAACTAACAGGGAAAGAATAAGTTAAAATTCATAATCCGTAGGCCAAAGTCAAATCTGGCTTCAGTACAGGTCAATGCTACAAATGAACACCCATCTGGTTTTATGCTAAACATGTCAGACAATTTAATCAGGTAAAAAACTCAGTATTCAGTTTTTTAAAGTTGACAAAATCACGTATTGAGGAAAGTGATCTGGACACAGTATTTTCATATCATCCTAAGAGATTTCTATTATTGACCTAAAAGTGTATATATGAGCTATGTACACTCTTATGCACCAATAAATGGGAAGGAAATGAAGTTTTCCTGGCATAATTCACACTTTTCTCTACCACTGATAAAAATTTGTATGGCTTTTCTGTAAGTCTAGGGATATTTGGTGTTTTATTGCTAGATCTCTATTTATTAATTTATTTGTTTGAAGTAGAATTATATCCTTTATAGCTATAGAGAAAAAAAACTTGACAAACTGAAAATCACATTTATGGTTGCCCCGTAGCACAGCTGTAATAATGCAGTTAGCTTTAATACTTAAATTCTTCAAAACAGACATTTATTACTCAACGGTCTTTTACTCCAAGGGAGGGCCTTTCTCTGTGCTCTGCAGTTGGCAAGAGACTTACCAAAATCTGATTTTTCTGTCTGAATCGCACTGTGTGACTGTAAACATTGATGATAATCTCTTTCAGGTAAGTAATGTGTCGATGTCCAGGAAGAGGATTGTTCATGCCTTCAATGCTGAACTGTGTCAGAGTATCAGGTAGGTCAGGGATGGTCTGAGCCAGAATATACGTGTATTTCCCTTGAAAGTGGTGCGTCAGACGATCGAAGGTGATGTAGTGTGGGTCGCCCATGATCTGGCATTTCCCAAAACCTAAATGGGAAGAGCTTCATTACTCTCCAGTCTGAATGTGGATGTGCCAGATCCCACGTGTGGATCAGTTTAAAATAAGTTAGATAAAAATGATTACTGCTAGCATGCAAGTTTCTTAAAGTAAAGATCGGTGCTCATCCATAACCCTAGTGAATGGGCAGTCAAATGCATAGATGGACAGAGAAGCTTATTCCTCTGCTGAGAACCAGTGCGAGCCAACGGAACTGAAGCAGAACATTAGGGTTTACAGGTTTTATAGAGACTAAGTTGTATACCTTGGTCCTCTGCAGAGGAATGACTGCCACACAGCAAGGCTTGCAGTGGGCTCTTAGAGATGTCGGTTTCATAATCTCCAGCAATGTGTTGCTACAAAATTTTTGGAACATGAAAAGCAACATCTAATTTTGGGTGGCTCATTGCTGTCACACTGATTTCTTCTGAAGTTACTAAATTGATCGTTGGGTTCACCAGACTTAACAATCAGATGCAGTGACTGTCATCTGAGTATTCTTCTTGACCACTGAGCACAGAACAAACCATTATCCCAGAAGAAACACTCCTTAAGACTGCTGGGGTGCCTCTGCTGTGGTATTTTGCCAAAATGGAGCAGGAGGAAGCTGGATTTGCATTATGCTCTTGTACTGATCAGCAGTACAGTAGGACCTACGCCATACTATTCTTCAAAATCGACATGTAGAATCACTAGGCAACAAGCTATCTCCTAAACAATCCCATTTACATAGACAATATGGGATTAACTTTGCTTAGCCAAAGCAACTATTGAATGAAAAAGCACCAAAGTTCTCCAACTGGCCTATTATGTATCTGTTCAGATCTGTCCTGTCCTGTTTTGCCTTTACTTTTCTCAAATCAGCATGCAATGGAAAAAACAGGATAGTTGCCAAAGGATTCACAGAACATATCTGAGTGTTGGTTTTGGTAAATGCAGTGTGAATGTTTTTTCCTTTTTTAATTTAAACTAGCCAGACTGAACTGTCAAATTGCTAGATGTAAGTAAATTTTCAAGCTCTTGTTCTGCTTCCCTCTACAAATTCTCTGTCTTGTACTGGAACTTTCCATTCTGAGAACTGAGGCCTTTTTGTGTTCAATAATGTGTTGTCAATAGCAATGTTAGAGCTGCCTTCTTTCCCTGTGGAAAAAGACTGAAAGTGCCAAGGAAGAAAGAACGGACACCCCCATCCTTCCTCCTCCAGCCCTCATGGAACACTGAGTGAAGACCTGCCTGCACATACCTGTTGGATTGCACTTGTGTTTTCCATTTTTGATCACGCAGGTTTCTTGAGAATCACAGCCATAGCTCCTACATGTGATGACACCGTTCTTCTCACACTGGCATTTTTTGGTGCAGTGTGCTGTTATCCAGGTCTCCCCAGCCTGGACACAAGTTGTGTTAATAACATGTTACCAAGGTGCTCAGCTTTGCAATAGAAGTTCAGCAGCAAAGGGTGCAGGGGTTGGCTAGGTGCAACCTATCTAGTTGGCAATTCCATAACTGCTTGATCGAGGTGTATTCTCACCAAGAGCCTGGGAGAGTCTATTTATCTTATTGTCTTCGACATGAGAATTTGAACACAAAGTGGAACTAGGACAGACTGCCTGAATAACTCTGATCAATTGACTAGTTTTGAATATGCCTCAATTTTGGCCTCAGGTGCAAAGTACCAAGCTCCTGCACCTCCTAATACCTGAGCCTGCAGCTTTTACTAATCAGATGAAAGGTATTTAAGAGGTAAACCCTGAAGATTTCTCTCTCTCATTCAGATGGACAGGGGACGAACTCTCTATAAGTTTTGAAGCCAGAGGTTTGCTCCACAAACTACTTACACTGTAGTAGTTGTTGTCATCATCCCTGCAGCCACAATTGCTCAGAGGTACACAGTTGCCATTACTGAGCACATAATTATCATCACACTCACAGCCCTCTGTGCACTCTTCTGTCTTCTCACAAAGGGAAGAGGCAAAAATGTCATTGCATGTTGATGGGCAGGAGGAGACACAGTCTGTGTAGTGGCTGTGGGGTGTACAGGGCAATGCTGTGTGGGTGAACAGAATAGAACCAGCGTTATTAAATACATTTAGAAGGTGCACTGCAAACACCTTTGCCTGCCTGAAAGATACAACTTGGCCTATAGAATGGTAGTATAGAATTGTCTTTTAATAACTGATTTGGATCATCAACAAGTTTTGATTTTTTTATATTTCATTTAAAAATAGATCAAGAAAAACTAAACAGAGAACCCTGTCTGGAGGTGCTGATTCAGTTCTATTACAGCTATGCCTGAACTGGTGGCACCTGGTGCTAGATCATTCAGATACAGTATTCCAGTTCAGCTGCAAATGCCTCTTTAGGCACTGTTAGAAATGAGAATCTTTAGGGCAAATTCCTTAGAATGTTCAGCCCTCCAGTGATGCAAAACTAGTGTAACCACAGACATAAACACATGCAAGATCAACAGATATGCATTGTCAGACTGAAGATTCATCTAGCCTTATACCCTATTTCTGCCAATGACTAGAGGTGCATAAGGGGACAGTTCAAGAAACAGGGTAACAGGACAAAGGGTTCATTTGTCCAGTATTTTCCTCCACTCACAGCAAGGAGAGAACTAGGATTTCTGATGGACTTATTCAACATTCATCTGGCTTGTTTTTTAACCAGTTAAATGTTCTGTCCTCTACAACATTATGTGATAATTAAATCCACAATGTAATACTCAACTATGGAAAAAAAAACAACAACAAAAAGAAACCCACTATGTAATCTTCACTCATTTTTACATAACTCATTTGTAGCTTTGTTGAATGGGTGGAGTGAGGCACATACACTGAATATTAATCCAGGAGTGTGCCCCTTAATAAGCAACCGGCCAAATTGCCAGTTTTCATTCAAAACACAGTGAGTGGCATTGAGCCTTGTGTCCTAACACAGTATCCTACTTTCTTGTAGTCTTCTGGTTATATTATTTCTCCATTTTAGGCTCATTGCAATATCTCATTTGGCTACTACTAAAGGCACTCTAACTCCACATTACTAGCCATAACTTGTCTAGTCCTGAGTTATCACTATGTTTAGGTCAACCTGAACACAGTTCAGTGCAACAATGGAGTCATAAAATCATGATAATAGAATTGCATTTTCAGAGAATTTGGGTTTAATTTTATTTTATATAACTTGTTCACCTAATACTGCTAATTTGTTTTCATGCTATCAGCCATCCAGGTTTCAGTTTTTTCACTTGTTTGTGCACTTACGACAGAATGTGCTATTCCTCCATTTAATGGTGATTCCATAATTCCTGCAGGTGTCCACATAGACTTGAACTATGTCACAGAGAGCAGACTTCATGCCATCATACTGGCACATGTCATAGATGCAGGTCTGTATGAAGTCTTCAGGCTTGACTCGATCATGACATTCTTGGAATTTGTCTGATTTTAGGACATTGCACTGGCTTTCAATGACTGGTTTATTCTCAGCAGTGCAAGGAGGAACATCATCTTCTCTTAAGTCTGGTAAACAACTGCATGAAAGCACAGACACAGTTGCAATTAAGTTTCAAAGGCATACATGAAACAGAGACTGAAAAGTTTGTTTCTGCTGAAAGGTATTAAACAAATAACACTAGAGACTACAGCCTTCTTTCTGTCTATGAGTGAAAGATTAGGCAGAATTAGACCTGCCTGGCAATCACCATGCTGTGTCTGACCCTTGTTACTCTCACTAAACATGACCCTGATTAGAGGATTGACTTCTCAGCTTGGCCTCGGACCTATCTCGTCACTGCAAACTTGTGTTGTGATCTGAACTCTTGGCTGACTGCCTTCCACCCTTGAGCCTGCCCTGCTTGCCTTGCTTGGGTAGTGTGGGGTGGTCCCTACCTGCTGAGTCCACTGTTCTCTTGTCTGTCTTATCACACTTGGCTCCCTGTCTCTTGGGGAGCAGCTGGCCCTCACTGTTTCCCAACACCATGGTCCTGCTCTAGGTGTTTTCAGTGTAAAACAGAGGCTATGCCACACTGTGGACAGCCCCAAAGCCCAATTCCCAAAGTCTGTATGTAGATCAATACGATGGCTGTGGTTTGCCTCTGGCCTGTGCAGATTGCTTTTTTTTGAGCTTCAAACTTAAGAAAAGTCTCATATACACTGCTTCTATGTTACAAAGTAGCAAACAGTCAAAACAATTGAAAGGAGACTGTTTTCTGAAGGAAGATGGAAGGTATGAAAAGAAGTTACATTTACCCTTCATCACTGTCTTTTTCCACTTTCCAGCTATTTCCAAACTGTGTGACGCTGACAAGTGTACCATTGGGCAAGGACAGATCATCTTCACGATTATCGTTGAAGTTACCACACATGCCATGTACCTGCAAAGGAACCAGAACCACATTCTAAGCACAACCTGTTCTACATCAGCTTCCCCAATAACTTCTTATTCATTGCCTGTGAAATGACATGACCAAATCACCACCAACATCCAGTCTTGTACCAGACATTTCAGACATACTTTCTAGTGTCTGACTGCACCCATGAAGAAATAAAATAGAAACTGCAGTAAATCTGTGATTCCCTAAGGCTTCAAGGCATTTCTTTCTATAAACTGGAAGTATTCCTCTAACCAGGTCATTTTCTCTAACTATCCCCTTGGAACACAAGGAAATTGTTGTGAAGAGAAAAAATAGAGAGGAAAAAAATTATAAGTGTTACAGTACAGCTGCAAAGAAAGATGCAATAGCAAAACACAGGAATAAAAGAAATTAAAAGTAAATGCACAAAGCAGCAGTTTTGAAACAGTGCCAGATGTTTACATACTAAATCTTACCTTTGAGAAGTAAGACTGTGGGAGGGTGATTTCCAAATGGTGGTTGCCATCATATTTCACTATCACACCAAAGTCAGTTTCCACTACTATAAATCTTCCAACCTTTCCAATGGACACGCCTTGCAACCGGTTCTCCACTGGAGTGTAGACTCTCTCATTGTTCCACTAGAGAGGCACGTTATTTGTCAGTATGGACATTCTTCCATAAAATCTTTTCTGCTTACAATCTATATTCCTTGCAGTGCTGAAGATTTTGCTATGACAGATTTAGCTCCTTTACACTTCCACCATTGCATATTCCAACTATGAGCTCCAGGAATCAGCCTTTTAGCTGAGGAAAGCTGGGCAGGACTCATAGCTTGTGCCTTTAGCAGGGAGCTGGAAAGATCCCTGGTAGTGAGCAAGCTCATACTGACCCATAGATTCCCTGCCTCCTTGTGCTATTCTAGGCCAATACAGTATGAGTTGCTTTTCCTCTGCTCTTATTAGCTATCTATAGGTGATTGGGTTGACAATAGCTGTTGAAATGGGAAGCCCCATTCTTTAGTTCAGGCAAAAATTCTGATCTGGAGGGTCTGGGCTCCATCTGCAAGATACACCCAGTAGGACAGTAAACCCAAACGCAGAAGCCTTGGGAACTAGTGAGAAAGGATACTTTCCCACGAAATCCAGTTAATGGAGGTGACCACAAGTATTAAGCATACACATATATATTCCTTAAGAAGCATGAAGATCCTTTTTCCTACAGCTTCTGTAGTGAGCTACTTTTAAGATACTTCTTTCCAGAATAAAGAGCACCACCACTTACCAGGATTCCTTGGCTTTTCTGAAGGGTGATTCGTATACCATACACATCTATGTAGACTTCTTTCAGGTATGTGGCGCCTCTTAGTCCTCTGTCTTCATTCTTGCCAAGGATGGTTATAGGAATGACGCTGTTGTTGTTGACAACCTCAACCAAGGTGTAGGTGCAGGTACCCATAAAAGTGTACATCATTCCATCAAAAGTGAAATAATGGGGATCTCCTGCCACTTGACATGTTGCTTGGCCTGAAGGTGAAAAAGTTATCTAAGAACTTTGGACTGGATTTCACCATGGACTCAGCTGACCAAAGATGTTTGCATTGGTGCAGCAACCTAATCCTGATCATTGTTACGTGGGCAAACCTTCACAGAGGTATCTCAGGTTCATGCCAATGACATTTATTTGCAAATAAGAAATTTCCAGAAAGAGTCCCCTAAATATAATTTCAAATCATGTACAAACTGGCAACTTGGCAGCAAATGAACCTCTTTATACATTTCTATATGCTGTTGTACTTAAGATTTGTGGTAGTTGAGAATAATACAGAGCTTTTTTACTTAGCTATATAAAAATACATAATTATATGTATAAATGTAGGTGTAAATATAAATGTAAATAAATTTGCATCTATATGCATAGATACTTAATGCACTTGCCACCACCTAGACTCTCAGAACTGCAGTTCTCAATTATTCCCAAATTTAGAGCTTGCAGCACAGGTGATGTGGGACTAGAATTTGTATTATCAAGACAAAAGGTACTCAAGTGACCTTGCTAGCTTTTGGGCAACATCAGTTTTTGCTGATATCCACTACAACAGAAGGGGATCTGTGCTTGCAAGACAGATCATCATGTCTTTTCATCTCTTAGCACTGGGAGCAGTCTGTTGGGACTTCTTTGCCTTCACATATGAAAAGATATTTATAATAAAGCTAGAAGGAGAAGAAGGATCTAATTATGGAATTGACACTGAGAACCATTTCCAGGAAGGGCTTACCATTGGAATGACAGCCTAGCACACCATCGAGAATACTGCATTCCTCTCGGACTCCACACTTCCAGGATGTGCATACAATGGTGTTATTTCCCTTGCAGGTGCAGCGTTCGGTGCAGGAAGAACTGGTGAACCAGCTTTCATACAGCTGAGCGGAAAAAAGTTTAGAAGTATGTACTATGAGATAAGTTGGAAGGTAATACCATAATGTATTAGTGCAATCAGATTACTAATATTTGAATATGCATGATATACAATCATTGGGGTAGTTGTAGCCACACAGCTCACGGGTCAAGAAGGCTGGCAAAGTGAGTCTATTATATTATTATGAATTATGTAAATAATAGTTATGTTAGTGTTATTAAAATATTTTTCTCTCATGATGATAAGGAATGAGATCCCTTGTTAGTTCTTTTTTTTTTTTTTTTTTTTCCTTTCTTTAAATGTCTGAGGTAACTTGCCTGGTGATAGTGGTTTTTTTCATCAACACAACCACAGCTGCTTTCTGGCACACATTTGTCTCCACTCAAAACATAGCCTTCCTTACAGAAGCAACCTTCCACTGGTAAGGAACTGCAAGAATCAACTGCTGACATGTTCAAACAGGTAGAGGAACACCTAGTACCACAGCTGTTGTAGATGCTGCCTCCAGGACAGGACATTGCTAGAGAGAAAAAAGAAAAAAAATACTCAAAAGGGCAAAATCATAAGAAAAGTCTTCCTGATGCTTTCACTGTTTGCTCCTGAAAATATATAAAAATTGCTGTTAGAAAGTCTGACACTGGACAGTGATTTTTACAAAGGATTTTCTTGCAGTGTGAGCTTGCTTTTGGTAGAGGTGGGTAAGACAGGTGGGCCACCCTGTGCTTTACCTCACAAAGGAAGTCAAACACTGTTGGATCTCTCTGAGGGTAGTCAAACACTGTTGGATCTCTCTGAGGGTAGGTCTGATGTGAACATACAGGACTAATTGTGCTTGGTTCAGTAAAACTTTTTCTGCAGGTTTAAAGACATTATGTCATTCCATTAAGGGCATAGAAGAATCTCTTCACGTACCAGCTGATACAGCCCCATTACTGGAGTTACTATTTGCACACCTGCCATATATTTAAAATTAGAACTAAAAATCAGACTCTGTCTTTCACTGAGACACCTTGAGGAAAATATAGTATACTGTCACACCCCTCCTGATCATGGTAGAATTGGGCTGCTATCACTCAAAGCATGCTCCCCAGGGATGACATTACATTTTAAAGAAATCCTGAAGCATTTGTCCATTTCTGTCATCTAAAAAAACCCCTAAATACTGTTTCTGGCTAGAGTCTGTGATACATCACTACATATGACTCTCATTTACTTCTGTCCCTACAGCAGGATCTCTTAGTCCTGTCAGGCAATTACAGCCAACATCTCCAGTCATCTAGCCAGAGTACCTGCCTTTTGTTAGGTTCTTGAGTTTTTATTTTAATTACTGATGGAGGGAGCACTTGAGAGTCAGTCCTCTTAATGTGACTGAGTCCTCTATCACTATAATCAAGCCATAGATATTTAGGTCCTGGGCTATGGCCTCAGACTACGGAGTCTTGATGTCTGTAGCTTTAATCTGATTTCGAGGGTTAGAAGCTCATTTCTTGCTCTGTCTTCTTTTATATATGAATTCTCTATGCTCTGTCCTCCCAGGGCTGATCACTGGGTGCTTTAAAGCCATTCTAAAGTCACTGTAAATCTTTTTCCAAACTGAGCAGCTCCCAGAATGTCTCCATGCTTTTTTATTGTTTAGTTTCAATGCAGCGCTAATTGTTGATCACAGAAAAGAAAGAAAAAAAAAAAGGTGCAAATCTGCAGAAGGTAATACAGTGGTAACTGGCATAATCAAAATTAGTGTAAAGGACAAAAAAAGAGAAGAATTATGGTGTTGTTGACCTTTAGAGGACTTCTTTTTTTTCCAGGTGTGTGGATGTAAGGGTCCTTTAGAAAATGTTTGTCAGGCAGAAAGCTGCCCAGTGCTGCATAAAATCTGCACCAGTGGAACCCCTGGAAATCTTTATTCTACTGAAATATGAGTTCATTATACAAAATTTCCCATAAGGTCTTTCAGAAGAGGACTAATCAGGAGATAGATGAGAATACTTGTTTTCTTTGCTTTATAGAGAAATACTTGTAGACTTCCTAGAAACAGCTGTTTCTCAAGGCCTCTTATTAAACTAGTTTTTTAACCAAAAGCTGTTAATAAGTATTTGTGTATGGAGGTCTACCAGCTCTGCTTACATTGAGAATGGTAGATTTTCAGTGGAGCAAAGCACAGTTCCCCAATGCAGAAGCTCACATAAGATACAGCTGAATGTAATAAAACTTTTTCAAGAAACTAATAGTAAATTATTAAAACTTTAAGGATTAGACCTACATGTACCCAAATGTTCATGAAAATTAGTGTTTTATACAAATACTGGAAGAGTACTGAAACTGAAGCAGGCTTGAGACATGACAAAAAACAGACTATACTCAAAGCATTACATAAAATGAAATAACATGCATGAAAAAGGTAGAGGAGAATGTGCATACTTTTGAAGTTTAAATTCAGAATAGATATTTATAAATCACAACACTCACGGCAAAGAGTAGCATTCCTCCACTCTATGCATATCCCAGCATTGATACATGACTCAGCATAGGCCTGCAATCCATAGCATAAGGATGTTGCTTGTCCACCAGTGAAACACATGTCGTAAACACAGTTTTCAAAGAAATTCGCTGGAGGCAGTTTGGTATGACAATCCTTGAAGATTCCTGTGTAAATCAAGAAAGATATATATATATATAGAAGGACAGAAAAAAAAGGGGAATTATGAGATCACCACCACCATCTATTTTCTGTCACAGCAAATGTATTGTGAATGCTCCAGGCTAACTTTGTTTAGTAAGTTAAACTGACACTTGAAACAGCGTTTGCACAATGAGGCTTGGTCCTTCAGGCTTTTTTCTTTTTGCATGATTGATACAACATAGCTTACATAAATTAAGAGTTGCTGGCTAGGCAAGCCACTAATTCTAGACAACTGCAGGGGCTCTCCAATGCAGGGAACATCTGCAGAATTTCTGATGAAGTGTCTGTAATACATGCAACGACAGTGCCCTCTTGACTTTCTTTTAGCAAGCAGAGTACAAGGCACTATAAAGCAAAGAGCAGCTATGGCTCCCTTTGCAGATTGTCAAATAATCTTCATGGACACATTGGCACTGATATATGAAGTAGTTGGCTGACATATCTTGACCAAGCCTTACGAGTTTTATGTTAGCCATTCACACTGCAAGTTTTATATGCTTCCAATGTGAGCTCAGAACAATGGACCATGGAGAGGAGACAGCAGAAACTATAAAGTGCTCCATCATACGGCTCACAGAGAAGTACCAACATACTACCTGTTGGGTCTGTGATCATGCCACATGCCGTGTTCTTCTTTGCTTCACTCTCCAGCACAGGATCACATTGCTCTTCTGTCTCACTGGAGCATCTGGAGAAAACAAGCAAAATCAAGTGTGTGTTTCACATCTCTTACTATCAGATTTTCAGTGGAAGATTGACACATGACAGCCCTGCACAACAGAGTGTATTTTATTACAGTCACAAGACTCCATCCAGCTTCTTTGAAAAGCTGATGTCAGCCCTGTCACTGAATGGACTCCCTTTTTGGAGCCTTCAGGGCTATTCAAAGGCTTATTCTTAGCTGAATACAAGACCTATGGGGTCCAATGAGTTATGGTTTCCAATCAGGAAACTGAACTGAAGTCCCATCCCACCCTCACACTCGGCAGACAGTTCCTGCTTTGGAAAATGAGACTTAAAGGACACAAGCCCTCTTCTCATTCCCTGTTTAATGTAAAGGGGCAGCTCCCTACTTTTAATGGGCAGTTGGAAGATGTAAAATGATACTGGATGACAAGACCAGTGAGTGGATGGATGTCTGATTTTACAGAGTTTGATTAGAAAATGTCATGTGATTAAATTAATATACATACATGGTGTTATTCTCAGGCACAAGCCAGCTCTGTCCAAGATCAGTGGAATTACTCGCAGTGTCACCGTTGGGCTTTATGTTGTCATCATTTGGATCATCATTATAATTACCTGTGGGGGTAAAAAGAGATTTGTGGGACACATGAAGTTCACACCTGTAGAACAAACCTAGGTTTCAGGCTGTAAAATTAACTACAGTGAACTATATATGCAACATCAGCATGTACTGGGCAAAATAAGCAGCACTCAATTGTGTTTTAGACTTTGACCACTAACAAGAGCTGCCGTTCAGAGACTTGTGGACTTCAAGCAAGGAGTCTGTAAGTTCTTATGTAACTAGATCACATTGCATACAAGAAAGAATTGCTTAGCTAAACGAACCCAACTGATTTCCTTGGATCCTACCTATAGAATGTTGGACTAAAAATCAAATGGTGCTATTTGCACCATTATATTCTTAGGTAGATTTCCTGAACTGAAAGTGTGAAAAACCCATGGAGAGATAATTGAACTAGGAAATTTCAGATGATCCAAATCAAACAATGATCAGAAACTCACAAAATAAGCTACTTTTGTAATTTCTACGGTCCCATTTCCATCCTGAAGTACCTTTCATATAATCATCTGAATTTCAGAATGTTGTTCCAACTAAACCTGCTCATGTTCAGGCATTAGCAATAGTGCTGATGAGAAATTATTCGTTGATACTAATTCCAGCGAGCTCCTACTCTCATTAGCTACATAAGCCACCTGTGACTCTTATTTACTTTGCTATCCTATTGCAACAGAATTTCTTAAAGAACATAGTAGAATGTGCCCCTTGTGTCTGATTTTTCTCACAGGACTCTAAAAGATCTCTATGTTTTGTATCATATATAGCACTTAATTTTTTTGTGGTATTTGAATTTTAGAAATAAACTATGAATTTTCTTTCTTATTCATCAAGTCTGTCAAGCTCAGGATTATCCATACTGGATCCTTGTAATTGCGTTGTTTTAATGTAGACAGTGCCTATATTATCTGGTATAAAAAGTAGGTAGAAATAAGCCTTAGTAGTCTATTTTTTCTTTTCTTTCTTTTAATTTTATTTCTTCTTTTTTTTTTTCTTTTGCTCATATAAACATTGCCATTCAAGTTGTATAAATACCTCCTAAAACTGCACAGGAAAACAACAGCAGGAAAGTTTGAGGGTGCTGACAGTAAGCTATTCTGAACATCGCTCTCTGCTATGGAAACAACCTCAAGTTTTTATAATTTACAATATGAAATGGTATAGCATTTCTCACACACAAGAGAAGTCACATACATAATGTACATTATGTAGAGAAGGTAAATAACAGAAAAATGTATTTGTAGAATTCTTGAGTAGATGCTTGCAAATCATTACTCTTCCTAAATTTAAACTGCAGAACTGAAATGAAGTTTTTGTTTGGCTAAAAATGTTTGGAGTTATACCTCACAACATTCCAAACAGACAGCATTTTACCAGGAATTTAGTAATTAGAAACTGAAAATTTCTAGGAAGTTTTCTTCACTGCTGTAAATTCTAGTCCATTTGACAAGGACTAGTTGTGTGTAGAAGTATGACATCCTAAGAAAAGAATTTTAAGTTATCATCAGCCTCCACAACTCATTAAAAAGTGACTAAGCCTATGACTTACCACAGATGCCACAGAGCAGACCACTGTAATTAGAGGGCACAGAGACTTCTGCGTAGTGATTTCCATCATATCTCACCCACAGTCCAAAGTCAGTTTCCAAGAGAACATATCCACCACTGCTTTGAATACTGATCATCTTTTCAATAAATACAGGCAGGTTCATTCTGCTGCCATTCACCTACACAGCAAGTTGCAAAAGTTAGTGTATGGCTGCTGGGACTCCTACAACTACCAGCAGCTAAAATAGATTAGTGAAAGATATGATCTTGTGCACAAGGGAACTGGAAGTAATTAAAGAACACTTCATCTAAGCAAATTTGTTGGAGAGGTTAAAAGAGGTACATTTAATTAATAAAAAGAGAAAGCTTGCTATGAAGTGTACAATCAGAGAAAATATTTCATTATCTACATGTAAGTTTAAAAATATTATATATGTCCTTTAAATAAGTATTTTCTTACATTCACTTTCTTGTTTTTCAGCAAAGAAATCTGGTTGCCATAGACTTCCACTTGCACTGACTTCACATAAGAGACTTTGGTGTTGCCTCCTCTGTGCTCATTTGTTGTGGACACATCAAAGTATGGAAGCCTCTCAGAGACATTGCACACTTTGGAGAGAGTGTAAGTGCAAATTCCCATGAAATGATGAACTCTGTGGTCAAAAGTGTTATAATGTGGATCACCAGAGGCACTGCAGAAAGCACGGCCTGGGAAGAAAGACGGGCAGAATAATTCCCTCTGAACCCCTACCAGACTTCCGCAGTTACTTTGTTCCCACTTCGTTTTACTTTGTAATTGCTGCTCAGGTATAACAGTAACGGCAACAGTGAAGAACATCCCAGAGCTCAGCCCAGCCTCCCATCTTAGGACCCATAGAGAATCTGTACTCTTATGTATCAGAAATCTATGCTAAAGACTGTGGAAGAAATATAAGCAAAAAGCTTTTATGTCAAAAAAAGGTTTGTTTTTAAGACATCATTATATAAAGTGGAGCAGTGAGTTATCAGTGGCCATGTCTGAAAGCCCATTTCTGATTAAATAGGAAGAATCCACTCAAACACTATACAGGGTTGTTTAGCCAGAATAGACCACTGCAGTACCAGTTATCTGGGATTCTGTACTCACATCAGTTATGGAACTCCTATTGAACACTGCATACACAAGGTGTTGTTTATACACTTTTTAAAAATATCAAAGTTAATTAGCAGGTGATAATATGTACAAATGGAGGCACACAGTGTATGTGCATTTCTGTGTGTGAGCTGGGTAAGATTTTGAGTGCTAGTGCTAAGAAATTCCCATTTAAACAACAACAAAATCTTCCCATCAAATATTAGCAGAGTTGAGAGTACAGGTATTTTATGGTCTTTATCAAAAACAACAAAAAATAATGAAAAGAGGTCCTTACTTCTCCTCCGCTTTTCAATGGCATGTTGCAAAAATAGCTACACTTACGGTTGTGTCTACATGTCAACCTTAATTGCTTACACAAAAACAATTAAAACTCTAGGAACTACATTCATAACAATAATCAAAAATACCCAGAAAACAACCAGACTGACTAGGTAAGCTAGCAGTCTCTTGTACTTAACAAGCTGCCACAGGTAGAAGACTTAGTGCTTAAAATTCGAGGAAAGCAGCAGCTAAAATGTATCTGATGTTTTAGTGTATTTCCCAAGCACTGAAATAACAATAACCGCAATGACTTAGTCCTTTCCAGGACCATATAATTGGATTATATCCATAATCAAAAGAGAATTTGGAAGCTAAATTAAATATAGAAATACTACAAACAACAATACCTGTACAACAACAACAACAGAAAACCACCTACAAACAACAGCTCCTTCAATACAGCCATTCCATCCCTTGGCCATGATCCTCATAGAAAAGCTAACTGCCACAGGCAGTAGAAGATGGGGGTGGGACATGGCAGTACCTGAGCTCGGAGTGGGTGGTGGTGCGTGCACAGGCTGCGTTGTGGTGCCTGGCGAAGTGGTCCCAGGTTCTGTGGTTGATGGCCCTAGGACAAGAGACAGTTAGAGTAGATCTGTGCCACCATGGGAGTTTTGTTGCAGGTAGCTGGTCCACCCTTCCCAAGCACCCAACACTGTGACTAGAGATCCCCAGGGCAGGGATCGCACAGTGACTGCTCAGCAAAAAATCCAACACTCAAGTGCTTTTCCACCATTGCTGGGAGATGGAAAAACATGCACAGTGCCTTCGTTACAGCCATTCCATCCCATGGTCGTGGGCCTTGCAGGAAGTGAACATAACACCTGTCAGAAGCAGTAGAAGGAGGGAAGGAGCTCCCTGCCAGAA